GCGGGTCGGGAGCGAGGGGCGCCGGCGGAGCGGGCGGGGGGACGGGCCCAGGGCCGGGGGCGGCGGGTCGGGAGCGAGGGGCGCCGGCGGAGCGGGCGGGGGGACGGGCCCAGGGCCGGCGGGTCGGGAGCGAGGGGCGCCGGCAGAGCGGGCGGGGGACGGCCCAGGGCCGGCGGGTCGGGAGCGAGGGGCGCCGGCAGAGCGGGCGGGGGACGGGCCCAGGGCCGGCGGGTCGGGAGCGAGGGGCGCCGGCAGAGCGGGCGGGGGGACGGGCCCAGGGCCGGCGGGTCGGGAGCGAGGGGCGCCGGCAGAGCGGGCGGGGGGACGGAGGGGGGGGGGCCCAGGGCCGGCGGGTCGGGAGCGAGGGGCGCCGGCAGAGCGGGCGGGGGGACGGGCCCAGGGCCGGCGGGTCGGGAGCGAGGGGCGCCGGCAGAGCGGGCGGGGGGACGGGCCCAGGGCCGGCGGGTCGGGAGCGAGGGGCGCCGGCAGAGCGGGCGGGGGGACGGGCCCAGGGCCGGCGGGTCGGGAGCGAGGGGCGCCGGCAGAGCGGGCGGGGGGACGGGCCCAGGGCCGGCGGGTCGGGAGGCGAGGGGCGCCGGCAGAGCGGGCGGGGGGACGGGCCCAGGGCCGGGGGCGGCGGGTCGGGAGCGAGGGGCGCCGGCAGAGCGGGCGGGGGGACGGGCCCAGGGCCGGCGGGTCGGGAGCGAGGGGCGCCGGCAGAGCGGGCGGGGGGACGGGCCCAGGGCCGGCGGGTCGGGAGCGAGGGGCGCCGGCAGAGCGGGCGGGGGGCCGTACCTGTGACCCGCTGGGTCCCCTCCCGGTCCGTACACTCCTTGCGGGCCCGGAGCCGGATGGCCTGGTTGTGGCGGATGACGGTGGCCTGGATGATTTCCACCACCTCCACCTCGGTCCGCGGGATGTGGGTGCCTGCGGGAGGCTGGCGTTAGCCACGGACGAGCCCGCCCGGCCGGGCTCTGCCCAGGCCCCCAGCCCAGCCCAGCCCACTCACCTGGCCCCTCAAAGAGGAACTCGTCCCCGGCCATGTACTTCCCACCCTGATCGTCCTCAAAATCCAGCAGGGCCTTGAGGTGCAGGGCGGTGTTCGGCAGGACCACCTGCAGGGCCGTGATTCCCTGGGGGCGAGAGGGGGCTCAGGGCACGGCTCGGGGGCACGCTGGCTCCGGGCCGGGCCTGGGGCTGGGCGTTACCTGCTGGATCTCCTCCCCCGGGTAGAGGGGGAAGGGGGGCTGGCTGAGCCGGATCTCCAGGTCCGCGTGCCGCAGCAGCGCCTGCCCCGAGGCATCGAATTGCACCCCGGCGCCCGGCGCCCGCACCACGGGGTGCAGGACCGTGCAGTAGTGCCGGGGGGGCACCGTCACCATCTTGGCAGGGGGGAAGACGACCCTGCGGGGGAGGGGGACACGTCAGGGGGTGCTGGGAGCCGACCCCCGTGACCCCGCCAGCCCCCCATGACCCCTCCCCCTGCTCTCCCCCCACCCCGTCCCCTCCCCGCAGCCCCTCGGCCCAGGCTGCCCCAGCCCCCGCGCCCCTCACCGCTCATTGTCCTGGCGGATGTAGGTCTGCGGCCCCACCTCGACGCGGGTCACGTTGGAGTTCTGGTCCAGCACGTGGATGTAGTGGTGGGGGGGGATGCGGATGATGGATTCCTCGGCCATGTCAGCTATGGGGCGGGGCAGGGGGTTAGCAGCCCCCGGATCAGGCCCATGCCTCCAATCCCAGGGACCGGCCTAGCCGCGTTCCCAGAATCCTCTGCCCCAGGCCCCCACCCCGGCTCCCTGCCAGCCCCGACCGAACCCATGGCCCCAGGCACCCGCACTAGGATCCGCCCCCCCGAGGAGAATTTACCCTCCAGCCAGAACCCGCCCACTCGACAGCCCTAATCCCAGCGCGAACAGAGCGACCGGCCCAGCCCCGTTCCCAGAACCCTCTGCACCAGGGCCGCACCCACGCCCGGGGCGCCCGGGCCGGGACTGACCCCCCCCCCACACCACGCCCTGGGCGCCCGGGCCGGGACTGACCCCCCCCACGCCACGCCCTGGGCGCCCGGGCCGGGACTGACCCCCCCACACCACGCCCTGGGCGCCCGGGCCGGGACTGACCCCCCCCACGCCACCGCCGGGGGGGACTGACCCCCCCACGCCACGCCGGGCGCCCGGGCCGGGACTGACCCCCCACGCCACGCCACGCCCTGGGCGCCCGGGCCGGGACTGACCCCCCCACACGCCACGCCCTGGGCGCCCGGGCCGGGACTGACCCCCCCACGCCACGCCACGCCCGGGGCGCCCGGGCCGGGACTGACCCCCCCACGCCACGCCACGCCACGCCCGGGGGGCCGGGACTGACCCCCCCACGCCACGCCACGCCACGCCCGGGGCGCCCGGGCCGGGACTGACCCCCCCACGCCACGCCACGCCACGCCACGCCCGGGGCGCCCGGGCCGGGACTGACCCCCCCCCCACGCCACGCCACGCCCGGGGCGCCCGGGCCGGGACTGACCCCCCCCCACGCCACGCCACGCCTGGGGCGCCCGGGCTGGGACTGACCCCCCCCACGCCACGCCACGCCCGGGGCGCCCGCGGGACTGACCCCCCCTTCCACGCCAAGCCCGGGGCGCCCGGGCCGGGACTGACCCCCCTTCCACCACCAAGCCCAGGCCAGGACTGACCTCCCCCTCCCTCCACACCACGCCCGGGGCGCCCGGGCCGGGACTGACCCCCCCCACACCCACACCCACACACACCCCCCACGCCTGGGCCGGGACTGACCCCCCCCACCCACCCACACACCCCCCCCCACGCCTGGGCCGGGACTGACCCCCCCCTTCCACGCCAAGCCCAGGCCAGGACTGACCTCCCGCTCCCTCCACACCACACCTGCGTCAGGACTAACCCCCCCCCCCCATGCCACACCCACGCCAGGACTGACCCCCCCCCTCCGTCCAGGCCACACATGGGGCGCCCGTGCCAGGACTGACCCCCCACTCACACCAGGATTCAACCCCCCCGCACTCGCCCCGGGGTGCCTGGAGACCATCTAGGCAGTGACCCAGCTGTGCCGGGGGGAAGGGGCGTCTGGGGGCTACCCCCCCTCCCGAGACACAAACATACCAGCTGCTTCCTGCAGGGCCCAGCTGAGACTGAGCCAGACCCGCCCCCGGGCTGGGCGGGACCCGCTTAAAGGGGAAACGGAGCCGCCCTGCCCCCAGTCCTGGCCCCCACTTCTGGGCCCCCCTGCCCCATCTCAGACCCCCCAGTCCTGGCCCCCCTTCCCTGGCTCACAGCCCCCCCAGTCCTGGGCCCCCCTTCCCCCATCTCACAGCCCCCCACTTCTGGGCCCCCCTTCCCCCATCTCACAGCCCCCCAATCCTGGGGCCCCCTTTTCCCTGGGAAGGGATCCCCGATTCACAGCCCCCCCAGTCATGGCTTTGGGTAAATTTCCCGGTCATAGGATTTTAAAATCAGAAACGTTGTGATTTCAGCTCTTGCACCTGAAGGGGCAGAGCTGGGTATCATGAGGGAGAGGGGCTAAGAGGGGCGGGGCTAGGAGGGGAGGGGGGTAGCGGGAGGGGAGGGGCTAGGGGGCGGGGGGGGGGGGGGGGGGGGGGGAGGGGCAGGGTAGCGGTAGGGGCGGGGCTAGGGAGGGGCGGGGCAGGGTAGCGGGAGGGGAGGGGCTAGGGGGCGGGGCAGGGTAGCGGTAGGGGCGGGGCTAGGAGGGGCAGGGGCAGGGTAGCGGGAGGGGGGAGGGGCTAGGGGGCGGGGCAGGGTAGCGGTAGGGGCGGGGCTAGGAGGGGGCGGGGCAGGGTAGCGGGAGGGGAGGGGCTAGAAGGGGCAGAGCTGGGTATCATGAGGGAGAGGGGCTAAGAGGGGCGGGGCTAGGAGGGGGAGGGGGGTAGGGGAGGGGAGGGGCTAGGGGGGGGGCAGGGTAGCGGGGAGGGGAGGGGCTAGGAGGGGGCGGGGCAGGGTAGCGGGAGGGGAGGGGCTAGAAGGGGCAGAGCTGGGTATCATGAGGGAGAGGGGCTAAGAGGGGCGGGGCTAGGAGGGGGAGGGGGGTAGCGGGAGGGGAGGGGCTAGGGGGGCGGGGCAGGGTAGCGGTAGGGGCGGGGCTACGAGGGGCGGGGCACCAGCCGACGCTTGCGCAGTGGGAATGGGGCCCCGCCCCACAGCAGAGCCCGCGAGCGTGGGGTCACGGGGGTCCCTCGGGTCCGCGCCCGCGCGCGGGGTCCGCAGCGTTTTTGCGAAGCCTTCCCTCCCGCATGCGCCATTTCAGGTGCTCCCGCGCGCGGTGGCACCGGCGCATGCGCAGTTCCCTCCCATGTCGCATTGTGCGCATGCGTATATCGCCATTCCTTTTTTCCTTTCGTGCGCATCTGCCAAGCGACTCTACTTTTCCTTAATGCGCATGCTCCGCTGCTTTTCCCTCCCCCCGCCCAGAATTGCGCACTGAGCGTGCCCGTTTCTGCCACAGTGCCTGATGCGCATGCGCTTTTTGTTAGTCTCCTCCCTGTGACGTCACAGACGCCGCCATCTTGTCCTGCCCCTCATGCGCGCGCGCGCCTTCCGCACCTTGTCGCTCCCGCGTCGCTGGGTGCGTGCGCGGCTCCCCACCCGGCGGGCGCCCTGATTGGCCGGTGTCCGGACAGGGGCGGGGTTAGCGCCAAATACAAACGGCCGCGGGCCGCGCGAGCTGCAGCGTCCGCCGGACCTGAAGGAGAGCAGGGGCTCGCTGGGCGCGAGGCGGCGGCGGCGGGAAGGGAGCCGGGGGGGGCGCGAGGCGGCGGCGGGAAGGGAGCCGGGGGGGGCGGGGGAAGGGAGGGGGGCGCGAGGCGGCGGCGGGAGGGGGGGGGGGCGGCGGCGGGAAGGGAGCCGGGGGGGGCGGCGAGGCGGCGGCGGGAAGGGAGCCGGGGGGGGCGCGAGGCGGCGGGCGGCGGCGGGAAGGGAGCCGGGGGGGGCGCGAGGCGGCGGGCGGCGGCGGGAAGGGAGCCGGGGGGGCGCGAGGGGCGGGTCCGAGAGCGGCTGGGGGGGCGGGTCCCCCGGCCGGCCGGCGCAGCAGGGTCACCCCCTTAGCCCGGGGGGGCCCCGCCGCCTCTCTGCCCCCCCGCGGCGGGCACCATGCCGCCCCAGCAGCGCGCCGGCCCCGCGGCCCGGGTGCGCGTGTGCGTCCGCCTGCGGCCCTGCAGCCAGGGGGACCCCTGCGTCCGCGGCCTGGACTCCCGCTCCCTGCAGGTCGTCAGCTGGAGGAACAGGAAGGAGACCGTGGAGTACCAGTGAGTGGGGGGTGCGCAGCCGGGGGGTGCCCCTGTGCCGAGACCCCCGACTTCACAGCCCGCCCCGCCCCCTCTCTGTCCTCCAGGTTCGACACCTTCTACGGCGACCAAGCCACCCAGCATGACCTCTATGCCGGCTCCGTGCAGCCGGTCCTGGGCCACCTGCTGGAGGGGCAGAACGCCAGCGTGCTGGCCTACGGGCCCACCGGTGCTGGTGAGCAAGGGGGCGGCAGGCTCGGGGGCTGATCCCGGCGAAGGGGACGGTGGAAGTTGAGGAACTGATTTCTTGCCTCGCACCCCAGGTAAGACGCACACCATGCTGGGCAGCCCAGAACAGCCAGGTGTGATCCCACGGGCGCTGCGGGATGTCCTGCAGATGACGCGGGAGGCGAGCAGCTCACCCAGGGGTGAGGAGTGGGACTACTCCGTCTCCATGTCCTACCTGGAGATCTACCAGGAGAAGGCAAGTATGGGGGTGGGGTGAGGACAGTACTGGGGGGAAGAATTGTCCAGCTAGCTGCTGGACCCACTGTTGCAGATCCACAGGATCGGTACTAAGACCCCAGCTTTGGAGCAGTCTCTGGGAATCTCCCTTCATTGAGCCAGACTCCCAAGGGGTTCCGCTCTTCCCCCAGGGGAAGCCACGGGCCTCACCATCTCCTTAGGCCGGAGGAGCCTGCAGCCCCCTCACTTCCCACGGAGAGCTCTGATCAATTGAGTCCAATTGAGACGCCAGGGGAGACTTGTACAATCTCCGGCAGTATCTGCAGGCCCACGCTGCCAGTGCTGGCAACAACAGGTTCATTAGCCGGCTGGACAGTGTGGCAAATCCTTGGTTAGTCAGGGAAGGAAGTTACAGCCCAGCCCAGCCCATCCTGGTCAGCCCAAGCCCTGTGCCTCTGACTGCCCGTTGGCCCAGTTCAGGTGTGTCCCCAAAGCCCGCAGAAGCCAACCTTTAATCAGCAGCCGCCCCCCCCCCCCCCGGTCCTGTGTTCTCCAGCTGGGCGAATGCTGCTCGGTCCCCGAGGAGAGGTGGGTTGGCCATGGTCCTGGTCGGTAGGTATCAAAGCCCAGGTGACAGGGATTGCCATTGTCATCTTATAAACTCCACTGATGGGACCTAAGGCTCCAGGCAGCTTGGAGACATTCACAGCTGTAGGTTTGCCTACCCGGAGAGCTGACAGACCTTCTCCCCATTGCGTGATGGTGCAGCATAGAGGGGAAACTGTGACTCACAGGCTTCATCAAAATATGACACAAAATTCCCACTTTATCCCACCTACCAGTCTGAGTGGGGTTGGCAGGTGTATGTGGGAGTGAACCAGAAGGGAGATAGGCTAGTAGGCTCTTGCTGATCTGGGATGGGCTGATAGGGGATTCCCTCTTGGTCGGGGGTGGGGAGAGAGAAACTGAGACACCAGGGGACAGGTGGGTGATGCATGTGGAGAAGTGCACTGGCTGGGGCTGGTGAGATGATAGGGTGGGGAGAATCTTGGCAGTCCAGGATAGGGGTGGGAGGGTGCTGGGAGCCCTGCCTGACCGGGATGGGAGGGGCGGGGGTGGGGCTGCTGGGAACACTGGTAGGGGGCAGCAGGATCCTTCCTCTGATAATCCCTCCAACTCCAGGTGCTGGACCTGCTGGAGCCGTCCCAGCAGGACCTGCCGATCCGGGAGGACCGGGACCGGAACATCCTGATCCCGGGGCTGACTGAGCGAGAGCTGGGAGGCTTCGGGGACTTCGAGCGGCACTTCCTGCCAGCCAGCCGCAACCGCACTGTAGCCTCCACTCAGCTCAACGACCGCTCAAGCCGCAGCCACGCCGTGCTGCTGGTGCGGGTGTCGCGGACCCAGCAGGCGCCCCCCCCACCGCCGCCGCACGGCCAAGCTCTGCCTCATTGACCTGGCCGGTTCTGAGGACAACCGGCGCACTGGCAACCGTGGCCTGCGGCTCAAAGAGAGCGGTGCCATCAATGCCTCCCTGCATGTGCTCAGCAAGGTGGTGGACGCCCTCAACCAGGGGCTGCCCCGTGTGCCATACCGCGACAGCAAGCTCACCCGCCTGCTGCAGGTGTGCTGGCCGCTGGGGTCCTCCCCTGGAACAGGGGTGGGGCTGGGGCCAGAGGCTGCAGGGGAGGAATGCACGCTGGGGTCCTATCCTGGGGTGGGGGTGCACACACCAGGACTCTACCCTGACACTGCTCCCACCTGGTGTTCTCCAGCAACGGAGCAGGGAGCTCTTGGGCATCAGAGGCTCAGTATCAAAGTCGAACTGGGTCGGGACGTGGGGCCTGGAGCGCAGAGAGCCGAGGGGGACAAAAACCAAATACCGGGGAAGGGGTAGCACCAGATGCACAGTCCCCTGCCCTGCCCAGCTTTGCCAGCGTGAGGGGACTGGTGCAGGAATCCTGGGTTCTCTCTCAGCGCTGGGAGGGGACTGGGAGCTGGTGGTTAGAGCAGGGGCAGGTGCAGGACTCCTGGGTTCTCTCTCTCCCCAGGACTCCCTGGGGGGCTCAGCTCACAGTGTGATCATTGCGAATGTCGCCCCCGAGCAACACTTCTATTTTGATACGCTGAGCACGCTGAACTTTGCTGCCAAGTCCAAGCAGGTGGTGAACCGGCCCTTCACCCAGGAGACACTGCAGGCCCCAGGTAAGGCCGGGCCAGGCTCCCTGTCCATGGGGCTAAGGGATCAATGGGGGGGTGACCCCAGGGGTTGTGCCTAGCCTGGCCTCACCCTTCTCTTCCCACAGCTGCACGCAAGAGGCCTCATGAGGATCCTGGAGCCGGCAGTGCCAGCCCAGGGGCAAAGAGCCCTCACAAGGAGGAGCCCCCCGAGGCCAAGCCGCTCAGGTGAGGGGTGGGAGCCCTGGGGAGGGGGGGTGCGGGGGTGCGTGGTGGGAGTTGCTGGGCTAATGGTCAGTCTCCTCTCCCCCAAGCTCCTTGCTGCCCCTGGAGCAGCTGGACCCAAGGCTGGTGCAGCGGCTGCTGGGCCTGGAGCAGCTGGAGAAGCAGCAGGGGGGTGCTGGGCGGAGGCTGCCGCTGCTTAGCACCCCCCGGCGGGAGCGGGTGGCCCTGCTGCGCCAGCTGGAGGAGACACGCGGCGAGCTGCAGGTGGGTGAGCCCCACATCCATGTGCTGCTCTCTGGGGACCCCCCAGAGCCCTGCCTGGCTCCTTGAGGACTCCCACGTGGCTCCTTGTACCCTTACACCTGAGCCGGGGGACCCCTGCATGGTTCCCCTGCACTGTCTAGCCCCACCCCGTAACCTGTTCCGTAGACAGCCCCATAACCCTTCTCCCATTGCTTCCCTGGTTCCCTCCAGCCCCAAACCCCCTTGTGCCCAGCTGGCCTGTGGCTGGCCCCATGTGCCCTCCACCTGCCCTCCCCCTGACCTGGCCTCCCCTACAGAAGCTGAAGGAGAAGCAGAAGGCGCTAGAAGCTCTGGCACTGCTGGACAACACCTGTCAGCCCAAGCCCCTGCGCGACAGCCAGGCCCCCCCCAGGGCCCGGAAACAGGCCGTGGTCCTGCCCCTGCAGCAAGGTAAGGGGGCTCGGCCCCAATCCTGGCCTGATCGAACCACTAGACAGCACTCTTGTAGAGCGAAACCCGGGCATCCTGGCTCCCAGTGCCCCCCTGCTCTAACCCCTGGACCCCACTCCCCTTCCAGAGCTGGGATGGAACCGGGTGTCCTGGCTCCCGGTGCCCCCTGCTCTAACCCCTGGACCCCACTCCCCTTCCAGAGCTGGGATGGAACCTGGGTGTCCTGGCTCCCGGTGCCCCCTGCTCTAACCCCTGGACCCCACTCCCCTTCCAGAGCTGGGATGGAACCCGGGTGTCCTGGCTCCCGGTGCCCCCCTAACCCTGCCCCCTGCTCTGCAGTGCACACCCCCCTTGGGAAGCAGGCCACGCCCAGTGGAGACAAAGGGGTCCTGGTCATACAGAGGAAGCAGGTGAGAGGGGCTGTGCACAGGGTGTCTTGGAGGTGCATTGCTGAGGGGGGCACGAGTGTTGGGGGGCAGTTGAGAGGGCTGGGACAGTAGGGGGTGGAAACGGGCAGGGTGGGGTGAATGGGGGAGCCAGTTGTGCTGGGGGGCAGAGTTGGGGGGTGGATTGCTGTGCTGGGGGGCCCCCTGGTAGTGGAAAGTCACTGCCCCCAGCCCATGTCTCCCTCCCAGGGCCAGGCCGATGGGCCGGGGGCTGAGAACCAGGCTCCACCCTGGGAGCTGATGCTGCGCCCTGACCTGCTGGCCCAGAGCCGGGAGAACCTGCTGGTGCTGCTCAACCAGGGCAGTGCCAAGGAGCTGCGCGCCCTGCACCGCATCGGGGACAAGAAAGCCCAGCTCATCATGGCCTGGAGACAGCTCCACGGGCCCTTCAGCCAGGTACCTGCGGGGGGCCGGGAGTGCGGCTCGGCAGGGGCCGCGGTGGGGGGCAAGGGCCAGGGCCAGTCACTCTGCCCCTCTCTCGCAGGTGGAGGACCTTCAGAAGGTGGAGGGGATGACAGCCAAGCAAGTGGCCTCTTTTCTGAAAGTGAGTGTGGGGGGTTATGGCCTAGGGCAGGGGGGAGGCACTGCTGGGGCTGGGGGCTGTGTCGGTGTCCCGGCCATCGTGGGATGGACAAGGGGTGAGGGACAGGGCTGGGGGCGCAGGAGCATGGAGTGCAGGGGGTGGGGGGAAGCAGGGACTGGGGTGGCAGGGGCATGGGGGGAAGCTGTGTGGGTGGCTAGGGGTGGGGGGCAGGGTGAAGTGGGGGGGTAGGGGTGGGGGGGGTAGGGGCGGGGGGGGAAGCTGTGGGGGGGTGGGGTGAAGTGGGGGGAAGCTGTGGGGGGGGGAAGCTGTGGGGGGGGGCAAGTGGGGAAGCTGTGGGGGGGGCAGGGGGGCCAGGGGGAAGGTGGGGGGGGGGCAGGGGCTGGGGGGGCACGGGGGGGTCCCACTGCTCTAACTCGCTGCTCTCCCCCAGGCCAACCTGCTGAGCGCCCTGGGCCGTGTCTCGCTCGCGCCCCCCCCTCAATAAAGGTCTCTGTGTCCGTCACCCCGACTCCGCCTCCTCCTTCGCCGGCGCGGGGACCCCTGCACGACCCCTAAGTGTCGGCCGAACGCACGGCACGGGAGGGCCTCCCCTTTAAGAGGCTCTGCCCCCTTAAGGGAGGCCGGGAGAGGGGAGCGCCCGGGCGCTGGTGCGGTGCGGGCTGCGCGAGCAACTACCATCTCCCCGCGGGGGGAGAGTAGGTCAGTGCTCCAGCGTGTCCCTCTCATGGTGCCTTCCGCCCTGCCTCGGGGTCAGAGGTCAATCTGGGCGGCCATTTTGTGAACAAGGGGAGGGCGTAGTTACAAGCTAACGGGCTGGGGGAGGAAAAGGAAACGACCGTTACCAGGGCAAGCGCGCGCCCCGGGGCCATCAGCCAATCAGCACCTTCTTCCTCGAACGGTCACCGTGCGCACTTGCCGACGGGGTGCTGAGCGCGGAGGGTTTCACCCAATCAGAAGCAACCCCACGTGGGGTCGTCTTCTTAGTCTCACTGGAGCGACCAATGGGAGCCCTGCAAGAACCCCACGCCAAGGAGTCCAGCGTCGGCCAATCACTAACGCCCCCCCTCAGGGAGCCTGTCGCGCGCCGCGAGAGCGTGCGCTGAAGGGGCCAATCAGCGTCGGCGCGGAGGTGTCCTCGCGCCGCTACCTCCTCACTCCCCCCCTCCCACCTCACTCCCCCCGCCCGCGCGGCGCTGCTCCTGCTCCCCGCTCGCTCCCCCGCCCTCCCCGGCCCCCGCCCGCCGCCGCCATGGACCCGAGCAACTGGAGCAGCTTCATCTTCCAGGTACCCCCGCCCCGCCCCGCCCGCCGCGAGTCCGCGCGGGGGGGCCGCGCGCCGCCCCCGCCCTCCAGTCCCAGCGGGCGGGGCCGCCTCGGCGGGGGCGGGGCCGCGCGCCGCCCGACACCCGCCGTGCGCGCCCCCGCGCCGCGCCGCGCCGTCCCCCTCCCCCGCCGGGACCCCTCCCCTCACAGGAACCCCTCCCCCACCGCGTGACCTTCCCCTCACAGGAACCCCTCCCCCACCGCGTGACCCTCCCCCGCCGGGACCCTTCCCCTCACAGAGACCCCTCCCCCACCGCGTGACCCTCCCCTCACAGGAACCCCTCCCCCACCGCGTGACCCTCCCCCCGCCGGGACCCCTCCCCTCACAGAGACCCCTCCCCCACCGCGTGACCCTCCCCCGCCGGGACCCCTCCCCTCACAGAGACCCCTCCCCCACCGCGTGACCCTCCCCCGCCGGGACCCCCTCCCCTCACAGGAACCCCTCCCCCACCGCGTGACCCCTCCCCTCACAGAGAATCCTCCCCCACCGCGTGACCCCTCCCGCACCGCGTGACCCTCCCCCGCCGGGACCCCTCCCCTCACAGAGACCCCTCCCGCACCGCGTGACCCTCCCCCGCCGGGACCCCTCCCCTCACAGAGACCCCTCCCCCGCCGCGTCACCCCTCCCCTCACAGAGAATCCTCCGCCACCGCGTGACCCCTCCCCCACCGCGTGACCCTCCCCCGCCGGGACCCCTCCCCTCACAGAGACCCCTCCCCCACCGCGTGACCCCTCCTCTCACAGAGACCCCTCCCCCACCGCGTGACCCCTCCCCCGCCGGGACCCTTCCCCTCACAGAGACCCCCTCCCCCACCGCGTGACCCCTCCCCACCCTCTCTACAGAGACCCCTCCCCCACTGCATGACCCTCCCCCGCCGGGACCCCTCCCCTCACAGAAACCCCTCCCCCACCGCGTGACCATCCCCTCACAGAGACCTCTCCCCCACCATGTGACCTTATCACCTACTGTGACCCCTCCCGTCACAGGGACCCTTCCCTCACTGTGTGACCCCCTCCCCCACCATGTGACCCTTCCCTCACAAGAATCCCTCCCCCACTGTGTGACCCTCCTCTCGCAGGAACCCCTCCCCTCACAGGAGCCCTGTCCCCAGTGTGTGGTACTTGCCTTACAGGGACCCCTCCCCCCATCATGTGACCCCTCCCCCACCACCCTCCTCTCACAGCCACCTCTCCCTCTCTGTGTGACCCTCCCCTTACAGAGACCCTTCTCCCAATCTGTGACCCCTCACTTTGCAGGGACCCTTGCCCCATCATGAGACCCCTCCCTCACCATCCTCCCCTCACGGGGACCCCTCCCCCATCATGTTACCACCTCCCCTCACGGGGACCCCTCCCCAAGCAGCACGTGACCCTCCCTTCAGAGGAACCCCTCCCAAACTGTGTGACCTCTCCCCCACCACCTTCCCCTCTCAGAGATCCTTCCTCCTCCACCCTATGGCCCCACCCCTCACAGAGACTCTCCCCCACTGCACTCCTCCCCCACTCTGTGGTCCCTCCCCTCACAGAGAGCCCCACACCCACTGCTCTCCCATCTCATGATCCCTCAGAGAGACCCTCTCCCCGTGACCCCACTCTTCAGAGAGAACCCCTCCCCTACCCTTCTGCTCTTTCACCCCATGACCCCTTCCTAGCCCTGTGACCCCTCCACTGCCCCACTGCTGCCTCTCCTCCCACTTCTCCATACAACACAGCCCTCCCCCTCCCTGCCTAGACCCTCCTACCCAGGTCCCCCACTGTCTCATGTCTTCTTCAGACTGCCCTCTGCCTCTCCCTCCTCTCCTCCACCATGTCCCCGAACCCACTCCCATTGGCTGTTACCATCACAGCCCCTCCTGCTTGGGTGGGGGAGGGGAAACCGTTCCACTGGGATGATCAGCAGCAAAACGTGGCCATTGTTAGGGACCAGAGTTAACTCCCGCACTGATGAGCTTGGTATTTCCCATCCCCACGCCGGGGCTTAGTGACTCTCGGGCGAGCTCCCTGCTCCCATCTCCCATGGCTCCTCTGACCCACCTCTCCTCTCACATTAGCAGAGTCACACGCAGAATCCCCTCCAGGTCGGGGCCGAAATCCAGTCCCGGTTTTTCGCCTCCCAGGGCTGCACCCAGAGCCCCTTCCAGGTGAGCAAATGCGGCAGCAGGGCTGCCAGGGACACGGGGACTTTCTCCTCTACAGGGTGCTGGGTCAGATATTTACGCAGGGCCGGGCACTGGCTGGCTGGGGGGAATGGGACTTGGGGCCTTTCCCCTCTAGGGGGCACCAATTTAAATCCATCTCAGCACCAGGCAAGGAATCCCCGTATAGTTTAGTCCAACAGAAACACTCTGCTTTCGTTATCTTTAAATTGTTTTCTGGAATGATCTTAAAGCCTTTCCACAAGTGGCAAAACCAGAACGTTATGGCTCTAAAATAAGATATTTGTGGAAATATCTCAAGTAAGGGCAAAATTGGTTCCAAAAATTCCCGTTATAGATTTCCTTAACTGTGTCCTGCAGTTCATAATTGCATCTGATTTGATTATACAATTTCTAAGCGATTATACCATCTGACTACCTGGGTACGGGATCAGTTACGTGAAGTACATAGCAACGGTGTTGCTGGGAGAGTTTTAAATGGGGCTTGGGGATCACAGTTAAGGTTACTAATGAAAAACATTATGACAAGGAATTAACTTTAAATAAACAAATATTCCTACAAATTGCTTTTGGCTAGTTACATCCACACTCGTAAGGGTTAGCTGTTTCGAACTGGCAATCTGAGTTGCACTTTATCTGTATCATGATAGACAATCCCGGCCTCCAAAGTCCTATGCACCTTTAGTTTTAGGAGTGTGAATTGACCCATTGAATTAGTAAGACGGTTTTCACGGCTAAAATTAGTCCCGTGCGTAAATCTCCAGAGGAGTGGGGCCTCAGATGGTCAGAATAAAGATAAGAACGTTTTTTGGTCTTGAATTTCCGAGTTATTTTCTGCAATTAAAATAAAATGAGTTGGGTTTGTGTTGGAATTTCTCCCAGTTTATTTTTGTAAATAATTTATTTGAAAAAGTGAGAATTTCCAGAACAATCTTTAACATAACAGGGTTCATTGTTTCAGAATTTCTCCAGGTAAATAAGCCAAGGAAGCTTATTGTGTATATAATCTGATTAGACATTTTACATTACAGATCTAATATAATTCTGTATGTTTTATGAAAAAATGCAGTCAAAATATGTAAGGTAATATATTACATTATTGTTTTTCTCATTATTTTCCCTTAAATTTAAAAAAATTGTGTTGGAATTTCTCATTTCATTTTTAAAATGGTGCATTGAATTTTTTTTTACCTAAAACATCGCAGTTGTTTTAAATTTGTATAGATATATAAAAATTAAAGAGATTTCTTAGCTGAAATGTGTTCCCCTCCGCCCCCCCCGTAAATATTTCACTTTATCTTTTAGAAAATGCGAAATTGCACCTACAGTGTTTTGAATTTATTGAAAAACCCCTTAAAATCTCTAGGACAAACTAACCTTGTCACTTGGTTATTTTAAAGACCAGTATTTTTGTTGTGCTGGACTTTCCCTGGATTATATTAAAATAAATCTTTCAATTTTTTTTCCCCTGGAATTTTTTTACAGGTAACAAATTGATTTCTTCAGTTGTTGTTGGGGAGGCAGAAGGGTTTTCCATGTATTTTTAAATAATTAAAATTAAATCTGATGACGTTTGGCTTTGAATTACAGCGTCACAGGGCATGAAACAAAATAAAATGACCAAAATTGAGTCGGGCCAGAATTCCTGGGTTAACCAAATACAAAAGGCTTTCCGGGATTGCTCACGTCTTTGTTATCCCATAAGCTTCTGGAGCGTGGAACTTCCCAGGGCTTGTTTGTTTCTTTGTAATTAATTAATTGAACAGGCTTTTGTCTCTCTGAACAAAGTTTTGGGGGCTGGAATTTCCCAGGAATTCCAATGGAAAATCCAAAGCTTGGGGGGCTGGAATTTACCCTAGTTGGTTTTGACTGTGACGCCTCTTCTGAGTCTGCCCCTGCCTCCCTCTAACCCCCTCTGCCTCCCCCGCAGGCTGCCACCACAGCACCCCCGCCACCCGCTCCAGCCACCTCTGCTGATTCCCTGCAGGTGGACCTGCTCCCGGTGCTGGCGGCCGCCCAGGAG